AACTCGGTTTGGATCCTCCTGAGGGCCTTCCGTTTCTTCAGAACTCCAAACATATCCTTTTATTCCTATAATGGAGCATCTTGGAGTTTTGTCTTTCAAAAACCACACAACAGAGATGGTACGTTTTAAAATTTGAAATGCTCTCAATGCCTGGAGATCAATCTACCTGCTGAAGAACTAGTTTGTGGATGACTCCTTACCATCGGCCACACACTCTGAAGCAGAGTGTTTTCCCACGTCAATATTTTGCTTTTGCCCAGCTCCGCACAGCTGACACTTCCCTCGGGAGGTGATCTCTGGGTGATCTTCATAAAGACGTAAGAAGAAGTCATTCTTTTGTGCATTCACTTCATCGCAAGTCATGTGTTAAGGCATTTCATAAACCTAATGTCTAGAATAAAAAATAAAAAATCTGATGACTAGTTAAAGGGAAGTTCACTCAAATTTTTTTTTACTCAACCAAACAGCTTCCGGAATATTTTTTTTCTCCATAGTATGGAAGTCAATGGGGTTCATCAACTGTTTGGTTACCAAATGTCTTCTTAAAAATATCTTCTTTTGTGTTCAGCAGAAGAAAGAAATTCATACAGGTTTGGAACAACCTGAGGGTGAGTACATGATGACAGAATTTTTGGGTGCAAAAGTTTGGGGTCAGTAAGATTCTGTAATATTTTTTTTAAAGGTTTAAAGCTCACCAAGGCTGCACTTATTAAAAAAAATAGTAAAAGCAGCAATATTGAGAAATATAACAATTACAAAATAACTATTTTAATATATTTTAAAATGTCATTTAAAATGTATCTGTAATCAAAGCTGAATTTTCAGCATCGTTACACCAGTCTTCAGTGTCACATGATCCTTCAGAAATCATTCTAATATTTGCTGCTCAAGAAACGTTTATTATTATTGCTCCTTCATATTTGTGTGGAAACCGTGATGCATTTTTCAGAATTAATTTTATATATAGTAACAATGTAATGTAATGTAATAACGTGGCAATGCTTCTGATGCTTTCGGGAACCGGTTCTATCCAACACAATTATTCGCTAATATAGTCTATTTTTCCACTTAGAAGCTTTTTTTATGCACCGAATTTCTTGATAAGTAAATAAAATTAATGTTTAAAAAATGCACTTTAGAATCGATATTTTTATGTGAGGATCGATCCTTTCGATACAACATCAGTATCGAAAGTATCGATGCTTAAGGATCGATCCGCCCATCCCTACTCTGCAGTGTGTGTGTGTGTGTGTGTGTGTGTGTGTGTGGTAACGTTGTGATGACTGATTGGATGCAGTACATGCATACTTGGGCTTGCTTGTTAAACAGTTAGCCTAGGCAATTGATATGTTTGAAAACCGCCAAACTGACCCTAAACCATCCCAAATTTTGTCCACCCGCCCAAGCCAATTTTTACCCTCACATGGCGCACAATCAAATTCAAAACCGCCCAATCTGGCAACACTGCCTGTGTCACACGCTCCACCACGACCAATTAATATCCCATAATGACAACCCTGGAAACATCCAATATGAACAAGCAAAGAAATACATTCAAATATGTAAATAAATAAATAATGAATAACGGAATGATTCAAAATGTTTTAGAAAAATATTCAGTACTACATTACTACATTTTATGAAAAATAGAATTTTCACAAAATATATATACATTTATAAAAAGACTAATTAAACCGTTTTTAAACCAATATATTTTGAATTACAATTTAAAAGACATTTAGGGCATGCTTAAAAGTATGTTATTTTTGATTATGTGTTATTGTGAGTGTATATATATATATATAGAGAGAGAGAGAGCGAGAGAGTTTTAATTTATTTTTAAACTTTGGTTTTAGTAATTGTAGTACTTAAACGTGTTTCAGTTAGTTTCCAAGGCAGCATCTAATTTTCATATTTTATTTTATTTCTACAATACAATAACACAATGCACGAGATAATAGAATAATAATAGAATGAAGTCAATAAATACATTATAATAATAAAAAGGGAATAATCATGAAGAGTGAAATAAACATAAGTTCAGAAAAAAATGTATACAATTTTTAAAAAAAATTCGATACAAATTTTTTTTAATAGATAAAAAAAAAAGAAGAGGGAGAAAAAATAAGCCCATGACCCCATGGTAATTGTAATTCAAAGTTGAATATCACAAAATGTAATCCTGAATTTATTTATTTTATTAATAATTGTTTAATCTATTCATAAGGGAATAATCATGAATAGTGAAATAAACATAAGTTCAGAAAAAAATGTATACAATTTAAAAAAAAAATTATTCGATACAAATTATTCGATGACCATTTTGTTAATAAAGCAGCCTAACATATGATCATTACATTTGTGCTTTTATAATTGATTAAACTCTCATAGTATACAAAGCTGACTATAATATTAATATCTCATATGTATCAATCATAGAAGAGTGAAATAAACATAAGTTCAGAAAAAAATGTATACAATTTTTAAAAAAAATTCGATACAAATTTTTTTTAATAGATAAAAAAAAAAGAAGAGGGAGAAAAAATAAGCCCATGACCCCATGGTAATTGTAATTCAAAGTTGAATATCACAAAATGTAATCCTGAATTTATTTATTTTATTAATAATTGTTTAATCTATTCATAGCAATTAGACATTAAACTAAAAATTATTTCAATGAAAAAAAAAACATGTATACTATTTTATATATTTTACTATATATATTATAGGACTGATAATCAATACTAAATGGTTAGAAATATAAAAAAAAAAATTATATTCTCCATTTCTGGCTGACCATTTTGTTAATAAAGTAGCCTAACATATGATCATTACATTTGTGCTTTTATAATTGATTAAACTCTCATAGTATACAAAGCTGACTATAATATTAATATCTCATATGTATCAATCATAATCAAACATCCTATTTTCAAATAAATAAGCCTATATGTACATGTTTTTTTTCCAGTCTAACAGCGCTCTCTATCGAAAATAATAACCCTTCTAATTCTTCTGTTACCCAATACATTGACCTCAGTTTAAAGGGAAATGGTGCTTGTGATCATCCAATGAAAACCAGTTTTTAATGCTGAGAAAGCACTTTTTATGGTTATCCTCAGAAGGAAGTGCAGATGCATTTTAAAGGAAGGAAGGAACCATAAAGCTGGATCTGAAACAGGCAGCAAATGCACACTGAGTTCAGTGTCAATGTTTATTGTGTACAACAAACAGCAAAAGAAAAAACAAGTAAAGGATGACAAACATATCTCAAATGCATTTCATACAAACAAGATACAGAGAAGGAGGACAGCAGCACAACAGTCTCTTAAAGGGATAGTTCACCCAAAAATGAAAATTCTGTCATCATTTACTCACCCTCAAGTAGTTCCAAACCCGTATAAATGTCTTTGTTCTGCCGAACAGAAAGGGAGATATTTTGAAGAAAGTTTGTAACCAGGCTGTTTTGGGGCACCATTGACTTCCATAGTAGGAGAAAAAAATACTATGGAAGTCAATGGTGCCCCAGAACTGCTCCGTTTCCCACATTCTTCAGAATATCTCCCTTTGTGTTCTGCAGAACAAAGACATTCATACAGGTTTGAAACTACTTGAGGGTGAGTAAATTACAGAATTTTCATTTTTGGGTGAACTATCCCTTTAAGACATGCAAATAATTAAGGTACGGAAAGAAACTCACAAGGTGCACATTATTCACAGCGCGATTTGGTATTCATATAATCAAGAAGAGTAGTTGAAGGAAACAAAATACTGTACTACAACCCCCGCTGGCAGCACTTAGTGTGGCATATTGCACGTGATACAAGCAAAACAAATCGTAAAACCTTTGCTATAGGTAGTTTTGTAAGTTAACTTGGTAAAGAGGCATCAGCCAAGAACATAAATGTAAATAAAACCTCTTCAATAGGCCATCTGCATTACGTCTATGCCAAACAACCATAAATCATGCCAAACGAGAGCCTGGGACATTCAAATATTGAATCGGTTATGCAACAAATGAGCTTTTGTGGCAGGAAATGGTTTAACGTTTCCAGGAGTAGTAGTTACCCTGGTGACTGAAGTGACAGCCATCTCAGTACATTATACAACCGCCATAAGAACATATTTAAAACGCATCTTAGCTAGCTGTGGCTTCCAGTGTCTCTGTGCCCGAGCAAACAAACCCAGTATTAGCAGTATGTTAGAAATAGTGTGTGTGACCTCAGAGGCCATTCCATGCGCTGCTCAATGTAGTATTATACAACAATAAAAAAAAAGAACCAACCAAACAGAAAACACTCGTATATCATTATTACCTGAATCAACAGTGGCTTCTGCCACATCACCCACATTGACTTCCTTGCTTATATCATGAGCCTCATGATTCCATTCACTTAAAAAAGCATTTTGTGTGTATATATATATATATATATATATATATATATATATATATAGAGAGAGAGAGAGAGAGAGAGCGAGAGAGA